AAAATGTTACGCCTTTTCTCCTCCAGGAGGACTTTTGAGGTAAGTGCAAGACTTATGTTATTTGGTTCTGTATCTAAATTGTCGAGAACTTCAAGATAGTTGACAGATATGTTAGATGATCATGATGAGCTTGACTGTATTGTTTTTCTGTACATTCTCCAGTAAAATTGTATTTGCTTCATTCTTAGTTACAGTTGAGTTCTTTGGGGAATAAATGTTTCAGAAGTAGAATGCTCTGTTAGTGTTACAATCAGCATCAAAAATCCTCTGTCCTCTATGCGAGTAGGTCTGAAGGCTGAAGGCCTACTGAAGAACCGACTGCAAATGCTGCTGTCCTTCTTGCCACATAGTGGTATTATTACTGAATGGTAGTGACCACAATAAAACTAAATTGTGCATATCTTTTCAGGGTATCTAAAGCGTGTCTTTTCTTTTAGCAAAACACTTGCAGATTACACTAAGCACTTCATTGTTTCAGTCATTCTTGGAAAGGACCTTGTTGCAAGGTGAGATGGAAATATTTTTAAATTGTTCTTTTGGAGACAAGTTAGATTACATAAAATAGGAGGCTTCACTTTGTTCTACATGTGTTTGAACAGATTAAGCATGCCCAACATGGAGGATTTAAAGAGGAGAATAGTGAGAATTGTGGCAAACTGCAACAGACCTAAGGTAACTAAAAACAGGTAATGGTTAAAAGTCAGTGGAATGATTAGCTGTTTTAAGCCCCAGCTTTAATGAAGTGGCAGGTGGTGTGTGTATTTTTGTTTTAATGATGGGAGTTGATTGTGTCTTGGAACAAACTGCCTTTTTAATTCAGTGACATTTGTGATAGTGTCTTACCTAGAAGTCTATCTTGTTGGACATCAAGGTTCAAGACCTGAAAGATAATAATGCACAACATCCAAGACCTGAAATGATCAGTTTGCTAGTTTTGCTGTTAAAGGAAACTAATTAAAAAAATCAATAGGATTGCTTTCATTAATAACCATTTAGTATCAGGAAGTAAAGAAATTAGAGGTTTTGTTTAAATTTTCCCTTCAGAATTAATTTGGAAGGCAAATAATTCTCCATTAAAGTGTTAATTGCTTACCTCTTATCTTTACTGTTGGTTAGAAACACAGTTTTGAAAGTGTTGGAACAGTGTTGTCAGGCAAAATGACACTGAAGGTATGGAGCAAAGGTTTAAAGATTTAAAATAGCCATCTCTGTATATATGAAGCTAAATGTGCTCTGTCCACCAGATTTCCTTGTAGTCCCAGGATTAGAAGTAATGCACTATTTGGATGACATTATGAATTTAGAAGAAATTAATGGACAGTTAGAAAATAAATGTGCAAGAAGACTTAAATCTGCACAGTAGAATCCACACAGAATAATTCACCTGGTAAAGACTGTAATGTTTTACACAGCGTTACTGTTGTCTTGGGCTGGGTACTGGTGAAATACATGTATATATCACTGTGGGGAAAATTCAGTAAGGAGATTTTACCAAACAGGAAAGTTTGGGGAGTGTGTGCATGCAGTCATTTTTAATCTTTTATTGTAGTTTCAGATCATGTGCATGCAAGCACACAACTAGAATCAGTTATTCAAAGAGACACCAAGCCTCAGTTCAGCTGTTTTTCTTTCTGAATTCAGTACCAGATTTTGTTGCGTGGGTGTTGGTACGAAGTGTTTGGAGGAGATCCAGATAACTTCCCAACTGAGCTGGATGGTAGAAACCAAGATGCCCTGACCCAGCCTCTTCTAGCTGAGGAGAGTTTAATGGTTCATCGGTCCCCTTCGTACAATGCCCTTGATGGTGAATCGCACTTACATTCACCGCCACAGTATCCGCATCTGTATCTTCCAGGGAAGATTATCCATATTGTAGAAGAATGCAGCTCCAAGAGGTAAGTGGAATAATGGGATTCATTACATTCATTATTAAATATTAATTATCTATTTTTATATATATTCGTATATGTTCATTCAATAATGGCATTTGTTATTATATGTTCTTTATATTTATTCATATATATATATATAAATAAATGTATATATTCATTCATGTATATGTTCGTTAATATTCACTATGCTGTCTTCCTAAAACCTATTTCAAGCTGTTTCTTACTTTCAAAGTACATTTCCAGTTCTGCATCGCCAACAACCATGTTTGTTTATTGTATGTTAGCCAGCTTTTGTGGTGGTTTTGTTTGTTTCCTTGCTCTGCACCTCCCTGCTTCTTTCTGCTTCTTCTGTCCCTTCTTATTCTGAATCAGGAATAAGAGCATATGTAAAGCACAAGACCATCTTACAGAGCACAAAAAAAATCTCTAACTTAAATTTCTCTAACTTCCCAAAAGAAGGAAGAAAAGGGATGGGGAATTTTTTTTTCCCTCCCATTCAATATATCAGTAAGTATTTTATTTAAGTTTCATAAAATCTTTAATGCTTAAAGATTTTAATACTGGCTTTATAAGTTAGATACTTCAACACCTAAGACCTGGCAGATTTTCTTGATGGCAGCTGTTCTGCTTTACTTTAGTGAATTCACTTTTTTCTTCTTCGTTTACTCCACAGCACAGCAGTTAATCGTGTTTTTTTTTTTCCTTGACTAGAGTAGCGCATAAGAGCCCCATTGTGTACTGTTCTGTAAAAAAAATCCTAAGTAGGTAGGATAGGCAGCATTAAATCTGGTGTCTGACCTCCTACTGATCCCACTGTATGCTTTCTGCCCCAAATTTGCTGGTATTTGTGTGAATGTGTTGCTTAATTCCTCCTCCCTCTTTGCTCAGTGTTCTGCACTTTGTGAGCAGGATTATTTGATTGCACCTTAACAGGGATTGTGCCTTAATGGTGAAAGAAACTGCATGGCTCTGTCCTCAGGGCTGGTCAACAGCAGTATTTCCATCTGTTTCCTGAGGGCCAGCCCTGTTGCTCTTTGGAAGCCCGCTTTCCTCCTGCAGTGAGGAGGGTTTCATTGCTCCCTAAGCCATCTCCAGGCTGTTCAGGAAGCCTCATCCTGGTTTGGGATTATCACCTGTGACAGTCTAGTCTTTGTGTTTTTTAGGTTGTGCTCTTCAGATATTAAATACACAGCAAGCTGGTCAAACGAAACAGTCTTCAGCAGCATTTTAATAAGTCCCAAGATGATAACAGACCACATGCCAGATGTTGTGCTCAATGCGCTGAACAGTTTGTCTCAGGAACATGGATCTTGTATTTCTTGTCAGACACGGGAACTTAACACCAATGTCGTATAGCCATAGCTGGATAGAGAGAGGTATGCTTTTGGTTCTTAAATGCAGGTTTCAAGTATTCACGATATATTCCACTTTCATATAGCAGTGGATTGCAGTACTTTTCTCATACTGTGTATAATAAACCAGAGGTCTCAGTGGCCTTGTCTCTGCAGTGATCTCAAGCAATGTTGATGGTTGAAGCGTGTATTGCGCTCTTACACTGAAGCTTGCGCTTTTCCAACCATGGACCAGTAGGACAAGGTCTAGCCCAGCTGCTGTAAAATGTCACAAGAGAGCCGTGCGATCAACTGGCTGTTTGACTGACGTGAAGGCATGAGGCCAGCTCAGCCTGCCCCGCAGAGCAGTGCCCTGTCAGACCTTAAAAGAAAAAAACACATCCAGTTCTGCTTGGAAGCCAGTGCACAGTGGTGTCCCATTACCTGCCCCTGCAGAGCCTGGAGCTCGTGGTAGAGCAGGTGCTGTAACGCAGCGCTGCAGTGTGAGCTGGCTGCGTGTTTGTGCTGGAGGCAGGTAAGTAAGGGACCAGTTGTAACCAAGCGATAAGGTGGGTGGTGAAGGCAGGCCCATACTGCCTTTTTAATTTAGTTTTGGTTTTGTTTGTGTTTTTTTTAAACTCAAGCAGTTCTGGTTGCACTACTTTTCTTACAGATTGTGGTAATCCCTCATGGTGGTGGTGGGGTTGTGTTTAAGTGCTGCTTGGACATACATGTGCAATATTCTTTGATCTACCTGGTTTTTGTATTTGTCGATACACAGGACTACTTTTATTAGTTTGAAACTAAACTAATACTATAATTACCTAAAGAGGAAAAAAAAATGTCCTTGCTCTGTGTTTATCATGTTAGGCTCTAGCTCTGATTAATGAAAAGATCAATTTGTAATTCTGCCAAAAATTTAAAATATATATATATTTGTATGGTGGAACTGATTTAAAAAAAAAAAGCTTCCTTGTTTCTAGTATGTACTACTTGAACAAATTTTTTTTAAGGCAACATTTCTTTCTTATTAAAAGAAGTTGCTAGAAGTAAGTAACCATATGACATGGTTGAGAATAGCTGTGTTCTTGCTGTGATGCTTAATGTGGATAAAAAATAAAATACATGCTAAAAACTTGTTTCTTATGTTCAGGTGTTCTGGGTATAAGCCCCAGACTAATGGTTTCTATCTGGTTATACGGCTTGATGCCCTTCACTCAGGTAAGTCACCAGCAGTAGTGCAGGTCCAGCACCTTGACCAGTGCACAGGTGGCAGCAGTGGTGGTGCTGCTGTCAGCCTGCTGCAGCTTCGCCCCTCCCCTCCCCTGGTGCATCATGAGCTCCTGGTGGGTAGGGCTGGAGCACTGACACATACAGCATGGCTCCATTTACAGCTAAAAGGCTAAACAAAGTAGCTTGCACCAGAGCCATCACTTTCAAAGCCTGTAAGATTTAGAAGAAAGTAAGTAATCATCGCTTTTATTTGCATTCAATAAGCTGAATGATGTATGTGTGTGCTACATGCATTTTTTCTGGTTATCAGAATCTTTAGAACATTATGGTAGCTAGTGACAACATTAATGATGCTGCATGGCCTGTGAAGAGCTGTTGTGAAGGTCTGCATTTAATTCTCTTACGCAGCATCAAAAGAGGCTGTGGTTAGCGCACACAGCCCTGAGGAGATGGCACCCCAAGCTGCCATTGGCCCAGGCAGCCTGCTGGGTCACCATGTTGCAGGAATGAGAACATTGCTCAGAAACTCAAACACTACCACATGTGTGATTCAAGGATTTATTAAGTCATACATGCAAAACATACTGCTAATTGCATTAGCAAAAGATCAATGTAAAAACTTCACAATTTTGCAACTTTTAAGTTTTGCTTTAGTGGTTGAAAGGGTGTAGTTGAACATCGTATTCCTGCCAGTTCAGGCTGTACAGAACATTAGCACTAATTTACAGAACCTCACAGACCCAAGTTACCATTACTCAATCTATGCTGCACATGGACATGTAGGTGACAAAAAACACTTGTCTGCATTAGTAATGTTACAGTGTTGGGGATAGCTGGCAAATAGTGATATTTGAGAAGGTTCATAGTTTATAGAGGTCTAAAATATAAAAATTACTAAAACGTGTAAAGCTGCTTCACAGGATTTTTACACCTAGTTAATAGACTAAAAGCTCCTCAGAAAGCATATAACTTACTGGGTCAGAAATACCAGGAAAATAAGGAGGCTATGCTTGAATATTCTACTCTATTAAAAAAAAAAAAAAAAAAAGAAAAGCAGATTTCTACCATCAGAAAGGTTTTAAAATACAAGTTATATTGCTCAGTAAGAAGAAATTCTACAAGAAAAGCATTTACTACACAACTATTGTGGGAATGACTGATCAAAGTTGTACCTAAATGAATGCCCTACTTGAAATTCAAAGGAATTTACCTATGAACACCAACCTCTCTTCCACTACTGCATGACTGGGAAAGCGGTCACCAATTTTAACCTTAAATAAAGTCACTTCAGTTTCAACTACTCTGGCAGTGTAGTGTAAGTTGATCTGTACAGTGTCAAAATACTGTCTGGCACTATCAGGTGATCCAATCCAATATTTCATTTATCCATCACAACACAATGCTGTCAAAAGGACTAGATACACTTCAGTAAGAATAGTTATTTATTTATTTTTTTAAATCACAGCAGCAAGAACTAGATTGCAACCAAGCCCTTACCAATGATAAAGCATTTTACACTGTGACTCAAGGGTGTCAGTCATCAATGACTTAGGTTTGATATACAATGCTATGCAATGACCCTGGTTGAGAAAACATTTAATAATAAAACACATCGGGCTGCAGTGTTTTGCTAATTATACGGTACTGTTACTGTGAAAAACTAGAAAGTGTTTCTGCATTTCCTAACAGAAATTAGAGTCATCTTCAAGAAGAATCTTTAAAAAACAGTTTAGTGCTTAGTGTTCGTAGCACAACAATGCAACTTAGTTCAGCAGATAGTTTGGCAACACTTAATTAATTGAGCAAGAATAGGATTTTAAAAATAAGGCTTTATATAAGTTTGTCTTTTCAGGATTCTGCTTTTAGTAGAATGAAAAGTAACTTTCGTACGTCAAACAAATGAAACCGTGAAATTGTTGATTGGTTCAAAATTTATGGAAGAGAACTAATTTATAACAGAAAGACTTGGCATTGAATGTGACTGCTCCATCATTCTGAGCAAAGCACAGGGTTGGAGAGTGGGGCAGGGAAGGTAACCTTTACAGCAGCAGACATTTTCTCTTCCTCTTCTTTACAGGAGGGGGGCAAAGAACTGCTCGGATAGCTTCATCAAACACTGTCTTGAGGCCTCGCTGTGTAAGTGCTGAGCATTCTAGGTATTTCACTGCACCTGTGGGAAGTGAAGGGGCAATTACAAAGCAGTTCTCCACGATTACAAACAGCATTGCTGCTTAGTTAGCACCACAAAAAAAAGAGACATTTATTTTAATAAAGTTGCAGTTTCTTCCACAGAATTTGACTAAGCCACCAGTAACCCAGCTGCAGTCATACCAATCTCTTTTGCCATGGCAAGGCCCTGTGGGTAGGTGATGGGCGTCAGCTTCTTCTCCTTCAGCTTTTCAATAGTGTCTTTATCATCTCGGAGATCAAGTTTGGTACCCACTAAAATGATGGGGGTGTTGGGGCAATGGTGCCGCACCTCAGGATACCACTGCAAAGACAAAATAACTGTGTGGGGGCAGATCTCCATGCAGGCTCTGCAACATGACAAATGAAAGGCTCAGAGCCTTTCCTGACTCTTTCAAGCAGGGGAGAGTTAAAGGGAACATTGAAGAGTAGTATTAAAAAATATATATACAATTGCAGAACATTTTTAAACAATGCCAACAAGTATTTCCATATACTTTAGGAGTTCATCCTATTAAAGGCTGTATTTTCGACCCTCCGTTTTGTGGCAGACCCCTGATCTGCATTTCTCCCACCCGTGGCAACCAGCTCTCTTTTATGGCCACACTGCCATAGGCAAGCTTGTCCCGGGGCATGAAAAAACTTCAACAGTAGAACAGCATGTACTTAAATGCCATCCCATCCACAAAACAAATGGCATCAACCCAATTTTTACTTTTTTATATATACATTTTTTCTTTAAAGTGCACTAAAATGAGATTTCCTGTTTGTGATCTTAACATCTTGTTGGCTGAAAACTCAATCTACTTCTGTCTTACTGCATCAAGAAGCAACTCACACCTACAGTGCTGCAGGTGCCCTGAACTTCCATGACTTAGAAGTTAGGGAAATGGATTTCTGCCTTCTCAAACTACGTTTACATTGCCCGCCAAAAAGTCACCTAATGTTTTATTGAAACTGCTGTGACATGAACATTATATTGAAATAAAGTGGTAGCAACTTATACTTACCTTAGCACGGACATTTTCAAAAGAAGCGGGACTCACAAGGGAAAAGCAGATTAAGAAGACATCCTACAAAACAAGTTAGCAGAAGTTAGCCTGACAGAGCAACCATTTGAAAAAAAAATATCACCATGAAGAGACCAAGACCAGTATCACCACCATCTCCATCACGCTGCCATCCGTATCACACTTGCAAAAGGCAAGGTCGACAACACAGCTCAAAAAGACAATTCGAGGTCCTTCTCCCCATGGGAAATCCATTCCCAGGCAGCTACAAGCAGAGGCAAAGAGGTGGGAGGGAAACAACAAACAGATTGTACTCAAGTTATAATCAGCTATTGCAGTAGCCAGCAACTAAACTCTAATATCATTGCACTGCAAGCTTTTTTCCCCCTAAACGTCACTCCTTCTCTTACTAACATTCAATGAAAAACACTTCAAATCCTTAATAAATACAGCAAACGAAGAGTCATTAGACTGGCTTCGAAACCAGGGTTGGATGGCTCTTTGCAGAACTCAGAGCAATTTAAGCCCCAAGACATGCCAACTCCTTGGCTTAGGTTGCTGCAAAGTGTTACCATTCACACCAATTTCTGCAAAAATGAATGTATTTATCAATGTGCTACTCTAAAGTAATCTTTAATTGAAAAGGCAACATACAGAGCATGGAACTGCAAAAATACAAAAAATGTACACCAGTTTCCACAATTGTTGCTTCCATGCCCAATGCAGAAGAATCTGTTAGAACTGTCACTACTACCGTCACTGCAGAAACACTCCAGAATTTCTCTAGAACCAAAGTAGGATTGAGAAGGGCATAAAAAACCTCTAAGCATCACACTAGCTCCTTTCTTCCATTTCTAAATTATTAAAAAGCACAGACAGAAGAGTTGATGTTTTGGGGGATCTTGCACATCCCATCTGTCAGTTGACAGCAACAAAAGATTATAAATAAGATCAGGTAAAAACATTACATAAATCTTCACACTAGCTGCTGTACAGTACACATTAAACAATAATAATCATATACAAGCATTTGGAATAACCACCTCAATTTTCTCTACCTAACCAGATGAAGATCATTCTTAAGTCTTGCTGTATGACCCAAAACTCAGTAAACACATCTCAAGCAAGCCCAACTTTTCCCAGCCTACCTCTGCATCCATACTTACTCCAGTATCAAATGTGTTAAAGAATCAGGCATTTCAGAATGTTAGTTGATTGTGCTGCATTTCAAGGCATTTTGTTAGGTCAGCATCTGACATCTGCATTGCTAAGCACTTGCAACCCAGTTGTTCATGCATCACCCCAGGAAGTTTCCGTAGCAGCGTCCCCAAAGAAGAAAGGAACAACATCAAATATGTGATACTATGGCCACTACTTCTGTTTTCCAAATGTGCAGTTTGTGGTGATTGAATTTATGTTATGCAGACTCTCTCCTTTGCTATCTCCAGAGATCAAAAAAAATCAGTGACCTGGAGGAATTATTTCAAGGTGTCTTGCACACTACCAATCTTAACAAATAGGAGGAAACACTATTCATTTGTGAGAAAAGCTTTAGTCTTTAGCAACTCATAAGAAATGTAACAAAGTTCTCAGATCTAGCAATTAGTTCCAAGAAAAGTAGTTTGTTATAAAATAGGGGCCAATTTATCACTATCGTAAGCAAGACAAGATGTACAGAACTTGGGACTGAAGTTTACTTAAAGTTTTACATACGGCAATAGGTTGATCTGTCAGACTGGAAGATAGATTCTTACCATTGGTTCCTCCAACCTAATAACAGCATGAGATAAAGTTACTCCCAAAATGGATTTAAGAGAAAAACGTTCTCTGAACCAGCGATCTGTGCTCACAAATACTCACAAGGCTTTTTCTCCGAAATGTGCCACCCTGTAACTCAGCACAACCAACTACCTGCACGCAAACCAGGCCATCAGACTTCCCCTTAAGCTTGTAGATGTTTGTCTGCATGGTCCAAGAAGACTTGTAAGAGCAAACCCCACATAAAAATCATCCTCCTAGCTAATTTCCTTTTTCATTTGGTCTCTCAAAGAAACAAGATTATCCCAATAATCTCTCCCAACCTCTTCCCTCCCCCAGATACCCAGGAATATTCATGAACTTCAAATACATCTGGGAGAAAGTGTGAAATTCCTGTATATTTTAAGAAAAATGAATACAGGAGAAAAGATACAAATGAACGCCCCCACTGCAGCAAAGTTCTTACTGTGAAGTTACCAGCTGTTGGACTGCTGCCTGGCTAATCAAGAAACACATGTGTGGTCCCACTAAAGGCAGTGCCTGCATTCACTTCATCCAGAACATGGCTCATGTGCACGTACAGGGAAAGACGTGCATGCGGGGGTGATTTTTAAATAGCACAATGAAAGAAGGGGGAGGCGGAATACAGATCCTGCAGAAGTCAGGCTTCTTCAGTTCCACTGTTATCCCTTTTTTTTTCCCCCAAAAACATTCATTGATTTTGTGGGGTTTGTCCTTTAAATGATGACGAAGCTTACTTATTGCATAAGTCTAAGATCTAAAGACTGCATCACAAGAAGTTCAAGACTTACCACCCTATCTTCATTTCATTTTCTGCTGTAAAAAACATACGATCTGAATAACAGAAGGTATTTCAGTCCTTTACTTGTCGGTAATACATGCCTGTACAGAAGAGACTTTCTAACAAGTGTGTTTAGATGGATATAGAATTCTTCCACAGACTATTAGAAAGCCACAGTTATTTTAGCAGGCTGAAGACAGACGTGCACTCTGTCCCTTCAGCACAGGAGAGGAACAATATTTTCCCTCTACAATTCTGCTGCCGCACACTGAGTGATCTTTTAGGATATTGTTTCTGCCCCACCATACTTTTTTTTTTTAATTAAGATTTTAAGCAAACCTGAAGTTCTCCAAATATCCTAAAAATATTTAAATATTGGAGAAAAACAAATTTATGTTGCTTCTTTACAATAGAAGGCAGGTAGTTCTGGCATTTCTACTAGAGCTGTCTACAACTAGCAAGTTCATGCACATCTTGGGTCTTGAAACCGAGTAGAAAGCCTAATTTTAAGAGTTAGTGAGCAGTGAATTAAGGAAAGCTATGAATTAAGACAAATTTACTAAAAAAAGCACTAGAGTTAATTAAATAAGATTCATATTATTCAAGAGAGCAGTTACGATGTAGAATAATTGGAACTAGTCCTTGTTTTACATTATTAGCACCGAACATATAAGCGAGAGTTGACAACAAAATCTGCAAGTTACCACCCTTCTTTACTTAAAGGACAACTCCACTAGATAAAAGTAACTTTAAAGAAATGAGAAAAAATGGTCTACAAAGATCAACTGTAGCTGAAGTCGCACTGGAAAGAAAAGAGCAGATTACTCCAGCATTAGCTTTGTACAAGGAAATGCACAGTGTGCAGACAGGACTTAACCAGTTGCAAGCCCTGAAGAGAGAAGCACATTTATACTGATGTTAGAGCACAAACTGCAGTAAGTAATAAAATAGCCATGGGCTTAAGTACATTTGAAAGCCACAACCCAGGCTCTGTCAATAGCAGTAGTATCTTCATTCAAGACCGCCTCTCACATTCAGTATGTCTTTACAGAGGCTAAACAGTATCAAGTGCTTAGCAGTGACAGTGTCAGGTTGCAGCCAAACATCATGCCTAAAAACAAAAACAAACTCTGCTTTTGGCAGGCATGCTAACCTTAAAATCAATGGACTTGTTGATGGGACTATTCACCCAGGTTTTTTGTTTGCTTGTTTGTTTAAAATCAAGGATTCAAGCTAATTCTGAGGCTGTAACTACAAGAAGCCAACATGTACCAGCACACAAATACCCGAGGATGCAAATTTTAACATTTGGATAGCTATACACACATCAGAGATTCTAATACTACAGCTACAGCACATAGGATGAAGGAAGGTAGCGTGAAACAATTCACAGTTACTAATAAATACAACTTCAGATGCGACAATTAAATGTTTAAAAAAATAAATCCGTATGTCAGACAAAACCATGCATTCATAAAGTTTGACACTGAAGTTCTTACTGTTTGCGGGTAGGAGAGTGGGCGTAGTCTGTCATAGTCCTCTTGACCAGCTGTATCCCACAAGCCCAGATTGACTGGTTTTCCATCGACCATTACATTAGCAGAGTAGTTGTCAAAACTGGAAGTAAAAAATAAAAAAGTGAAAAGCTAGATGCATTTGGTTGCAGTAAAACAGGGCCCGCAGATTTTTTCTTACAGAGTCCTAACTGGGAAGACTACAAAATAAAGCTTTTATTTATTGCATCCTTCTGCTCCAAGAAAAAAGTCATTTTTTTAAATACCAAGTCTGGTATTGAGTAGCAGAGGGAATAAATATGCACAACACTTAGTCCAGTCTGAACAGGTCATCTTTTTCATTGGTCTTCCAGCAGAAGTCTTGTCAGTCTCAGCAAACAGAGCAAAGCAGGTGGTGCACTTAACAAGCATCTCCCAGTCTTAGTGGGACAATAAACAGTGACAGCCCGCCTCATTTTGTAAGATTTAGAATAGCAGCTACATCAGCACCAACTGAGGAATCCTTAAAGACAACAACAGTAGGTAAGATTAAAAAAAAATATATTAATCCTGCTAATCAAAAGCCACCACAAAAATCTTCTCTAATGAAACACCAAAGTTAATAACCAGAAACCAGGACAGGCATGGCTTTTATCACTACTGTAGGTGCAAAGGTTTTCATGATATTTTAAGGATAAACTATGTTCACTAAGAATATGTACATACTACTATGCAAAAATCTGAATTTAAGAACAAAAAAATAACATCAGGAGTAGTTACCCTTCCAAGACCTTTTTGTTTTAAAGTAATCTGGAAATCTCATTAAAATGTACTTTACCAGAAAAACTCATCAGTGCTTATAGAGAGCAAGTTAGACAGATAAATGTATTTTATAGAGACATCTCTAAAAGGCAGGGGAGCTGCTTGTCTGTAAAACACCTCCCCTGGCACCCAAAACACCATCAAAAAAGAACTACACTAATACTGATACCAACAAATTTATCCGTGCAAGAAAATGGGAAGCACCAAAATAAATGAGTCCCCACAATCATGCCTGAGGAGCTACAGAGCTGTGGCTTAGTACAGGATTGGCACTAGTACAAAAAAAAAGGGAGGAACAGAAAAATCTCATCTGTAGTCACGTAAGCCAATTATGTCTATGTTTTACAAGGTTTTATAGCCTTGAAACTGCTTATTATGAGTAATACCTAACATGGAAATTTTAAAAAGAGAATAAAAACTGATAAAATGTTAGTAAATACTAGTCCCTAGTCAGGGAGGCTTAGTGGTCAGAGAAGCAGAACCGATTTAGCACAAACAAGCCCTGGTATTGCCATGCTCAATAGCAAAAGTCCAAAGTGCTTCTCCTTGAACACACCTAGGTGCCCAGCTCAACGTTTAAGGTGAAACCAAGGGGAGCCTGCAGCCAATTCAAAAGGCTCCAGTCAGGAACCTGGAATGGCAGCAACCATTACAGTACACACGTGGATATAAATGAGGTTTTAGAATTTTTTAAGTACTTACACAGTGGGTATATATTCTCCAGGAAATGCATTGGTTGTGTAACTGATGAGTAGGCATGTTTTACCTACAGCACTGTAAAAAGAAAAAGTTCACATGTAAGAACCATTCATCTTCAGTAAGAAATACTCCTTTTAGGGAAGAAAACCTATTACATCCCATCGTCTAAGGAACAATGTAGAGTGTCTGTAGTCACTACCATGCACAGAAACTCCTAACAGGCTGTGGCCTTCAGGTAGCTGCTAATGGAATCGTACCTGATATAAACATCCATTTTGATAATCTTGAGTTTTATTTTACATAAGTTTGAAAAAGCTTGAAATGTATGATTTTGCAACATAACACTACTTTTGTGTATTTGAGAAAATACAAACAGCAATCCTCACAATACTTATGGTTATTGCAGAATGTCCCCTCACACCCACTCACCGACCACCCCAACACTTCGCTAACTGAGGTACAGATAAATCACAATCCAGTACTGAAGGAGGAACTGGCACACCGAACCTTCGCCCACAGATCTAGTCCTGGACAGCCTGGAACAACTGGGGGCACAACAAGGTTCTCTTCCAGGTTTCTTTCAGAACTCTGGCAACAAGCTCCTTCCTTCTCCCTCCTCCTCACATCTTATCTGCTGTCAAACATTACATGAACGACATAATTAAACTTTTGTTACAGTTACAATTAGAGGGTCAGAATGCTTGAAATTGGACCTTCTTTTTTTTTTTAATTAACTGCAAAATGGGCTCCTTGCTGCCTTCTCACTTCAAGTGCAGTCTTTTAACAGCTTTAGAGAGTTCAGAGGTGATGGCAAATAATGCCTGAAAGAATCCAAACTGTCTCACAGTCCTCTCAGTTACTCTTCTCAGACAAACTGCATCTCTAAAACCACGAGCTCAAAGCAAGCCAGCAGAAACTTTGACACCTTACTGTCCTTACAGATGAATCTTGCCATCAGCATTAGGTTCAATGCATATGCCTCCTAAACTTGCCACAAGCTCACGTAACTCAGCAAGATTTTAGTTCAGAACTGCAGTTAATATCAAAAAACAACAACAAATATTCCCAGGAACCAAATGCTACTGCTAAAAATATCTTTTTATCCTTTAGCTTTTGCAGAAGAAAAAAAACAGCTCACAGAAATGAGCTTTAGTAATGGGCTTACTAGCTCCGCTGCTGCAAGCGTCTGAGGCATTCACATCTGAATTTCACATTTGAATCGTGGCATTTCTTCTCTTGGTCTGAAAGACTATGGATTGCCACTTCATTTACCCACGACCATCTTCAAAGTATTACTTAAAGTCATTTAGCACTCAGCATTACCCAACCAGCCTTACCCAGTGACGCGCGATGTAAGGCAGGCTCAGTGAATTTGAGGTGCATAACCACAAGTTCCCAAGCACGCTGCAGCCCACAAGTGATATGACAGCAGCACCTGATGACACCACCACCCGCGCTCAAGCAATGAAAGAAGAATTGCTTCAATGTGCAAAACATCAGGATTTTGTCCCGCGTGCCCGTTTTTTTAGGTGTAATGTTGTTTCTGAGCTGCCCCCTAGCACAACATCCCACCTACAGCCCTCTGTGCCCCCCCCACACCACGGTGACCGCCTGTCTGTGCTGCTTTCCCTGCCTGCCCCCAGGGAAGGCAACGCCAGCCCCTTCCACAGCCCGACCTGCTGTCAGCACACACCCTCTCACACCAAGCTGTAAGAGTTAAGTGCCACAATTTCTCTCTACTCTTGGTAAATACAATCTCTGAATGTCTTCCCAAAGCAAAAAGCTTGAGATCTGCTGGTTGGCAGAAGCAAGACATTTACCTCACAGAAACTTTGGTGGAGAAGTTTGGGAGCAGCGCGACCCAGCTACGCTGCTTTAACAGCTGTCAGAGGGAGATCCCACCTTATCTCTTGCCCCAGCGAGCATTACTAACAGACCAGCACCAGGAGCCTCAGCAAGCTGCTCCCTCCCCCACAGGGACACCGCGCGGGTTTCACTCCCTGGGCTGTCTCAGCAGCCACAGCATATCACAGGACTGCACTCCTAGTGCCATAAAGCAGGCTCACGGAGGACAAACGTGAAAACCCTCAGAGCACCAAGGAGCAAAGGGCAGATCCTTAGGGAAACCTCTGAGGCCACGTGTTCTCATGCCTCTGGAACCTGTTTGGTCTGATGCTTCATTTACCAGCAGGCTCCTTACAGATAATGCAAGCTTCTAACAAATTGATGTGAAACTTTACATTTTCAGCAGCAGAGCAAGAACTTTTCTCTGTGCTCAGGCTTCTTTGTTCACCTTGCTCAGAAACTGGTGAGTCTGCTCTGGCTAATCAAAACAGTGCAAGGAGGAGGTGGTGAAAGGTTTCATTCCAAGCTTAGAAGTGTCTGCAGTATGTATCTGCAGCACCGATCAGTCATTTGAACAAGAAAAAACACGTTCAACAACCCTGTTTCAGGCTTGCTCCATCCTCAGTTTCCTGCTTTCCTTGCCTTTTGGCTCACTGCCCCATGAATCAGATCATTATAGTCACCAATCTTAAAAATGAACACCAACACCTATCTTTATAAATAGAGAACAACCTCTGAGTACTTTCAGCTGTCCTTTAAAGTGTCTGGTTCTGCACTAAGGAACTCCAAATCCAATTGTTCAGCAAAGTATAAACCCCTGTACATAAAGATTAAGGCCCTAAAATATCACCGAGCCAGTATTAGTTGTAACAAAATTTCTAGCAACTACTTAATCATAGCTCTGTCCTCCCACCAGTACATCAAATGCAACTGGTAACATTTGGCTGTAATTAAAAGCACGGCCTACAGAAATCCGGCATTTTAACCACTTAACAGTAAGCAAAAGGCTTACAAAGACGGCAGTGAATCCCTCACTGCTTCCTGGCACCATCCAGGAATCAATCTTTACAAAAGCACATGTACTCATTCCTGCAAACAAAACAAGCCATCTCTTCCCAGGCCTCATTCACACTGACCAGTTCTGCAAAGTTTCCCCAAAGCACGGGGGCTGCCTGGAGCCACGTTAGGTGACATTAGGTGACACCAGAAATGCCACCCGAGGACCTGTACCAGCATTTCTTCCGCTCTGAAGGCACTAGGGCTGCACAGATGGTGCACAGTCTCCCTCTTGCCCGCAACTAAAAACCAGTTGTGAGAGTTTCATTGCCACTCGCAGCCATGGCAGTGGAGGCCAGCTGAAGTACTTGCTGGTTTCAGTCCAGAAACGCTGACATCTGCAAACAGGTGGCAGCCTGCAGAACTCCTGGAGTGCCTCCCTCCTTTCTTTCTCGCTCTGCCAGGATGCACAGCCCAGGTCTCCTCCACTCAAACTTCACTGTCAGGTGTGAAGTGCAGTGTTTCTGCTGTAGGTTGAGTTACCCACTGCTCTTCCAGATAAGCTGTTCTGCTT